AAATGCATACACTTGGCAGCATCAAAGAACACTATGGGTGTTATAAAGATGCTCTTAGACCAAAATATAGATATCTATTCAGTAGACAGAGAAGAGAGAAATGCATTACACTTGGCAGCATCAAAGAACACTGTGGATGTTATAAAGATGCTCTTAGACCAGAACATAGATATCTATTCAGTAGACAGAGAGAACACTATGGGTGTTATAAAAATGCTCTTAGACCAGAATATAGATATCTATGCAGTAGACAGAGAGGAGAGAAATGCATTACACTTGGCAGCATCAAAGAACACTGTGGATGTTATAAAGATGCTCTTAGACCAGAATATAGATATCTATTCAGTGGACAGAGAGGAGAGAAATGCATTACACTTGGCAGCATCAAAGAACACTGTGGATGTTATAAAGCTACTCTTAAACCAGGATATGTTCATGCAGTAGACAAAAATAAGATGAATGCTCTGCACTTTGCAGCAAAGTATAATGATATGATAATCCTGTTATTATAAAGCTACCCTTAGACAGGAATATAGATATCAATGCAGTAGGCAAAAATCAGAATTAAGCAAACTTGAACATGAACTGGATTTGGAAGTTGTCTTCTACAGAAGCCAAACATTTGCCAACTCTACCAAGTCTTGCTGTCTTGCCAAACATTTATCGGACAAGATGAATACTCTGCACATTGCAGCAAAGTATAGAAGTGTATAAGGTACACTTAGAGAAGAATATAGATATCATATGCAGTAGAGAATAACAAGAAGAATGCTCTGCAGAGTATAATAGAAATCCTTGGGTTAGAATGCTACTCATAGACAAATTATAGATATCAATTCAGTAGGAAAACAGTTTCGCACTCTGGTACTAATGGCACAGAAATGGCACAGCACACCTTGCCCACCCTAATCAACAGTGATTCATGTTTGATTCACAATACAAGATTCCTGCATAAGGGCTGCATCATCGGATGGTAGTGGTGGAATTCAGGATCACATGATCAAAACATTAAGTCGATGGATTTCCAACTCATACATATTCAAGTTTTTAAGGGATCTCTTAGAGATGCACAAGCAACATTGACAGTGGCAGGGGTTAAGAGATAATTTTACATTGATATGTAATTTTGCTTTGAGTTATTTCTTTTATCATATTTACATCTTAGGGGTCACTGCCATTTATATTGGCATCAGCAGGGCAACTGCAAAGACTCCTATTGTGTGCTTGCCTAGACCAAAAAAATGCATCCAGTTGGCCAGTGGGACAGACAGATTAGCACAAAAAAACAAATTCATAAGTCCTACTGGTCTTGTCAAGACAGCAAAACATTGGCAAATGTTTAATATTTGCAGACATTTTGTTTGGTCCCATTTTCGCCCTCTTTTGAATTTTCAGCATAATAAGCTAATAGGTATAAATACCTGTCAACTTGCTTAGATAGTTTCAAAATATGTGGATCTGATTACCACTTTGATAAACAAGTGATGGTATACAGTGTAAATGTAGATGGGGAAATAACAACATAACTGGTGCAAGTGAGTGAGATGAAGTGTGAAGTAACATATAGCACACAACATGACCTAACTCATAACACAGACTGTCAAGGTCTAATCTGTAGGGAATTGCACAGACCATAAGGTGGCCTCATACACACACACACAGGCATAGTGCTAAATATGATGGTTGATGATAGTAAGTGGCTTATGAGAGATGATTTCTTTATGTTAGCATTTGAAGAAAGTTTAATTTAGACAACTTTTGTGAACGTTGTAGAGATATGCATGGCAATCAATCTCCAAGATGAATTAATTAAAATTTCTTTTTTAATGCATTTAAAAAAATATAAATGTAACAAACTAAAAATTTACAGTTCTTCAGCAAAAACTAAGAACAAGATTTCATCTCCCATAACAGACTACACAACAGCTTGTGTGAATTTATATTCAACTTGAGCCATTTATTAAGTTCTTTGTTTATTAAACCAGTGAGATTACTCATTTACTCAGCAAATGCTTATCTTGAATAAAAACAGATGATGACATGAATGATTGTTGAATGAATGTTTTGCTGTTACAGCAAGATATAAGATAATTATGTAGGGATAATCAAGCTTACAGAGATTCAATCATATAAGCACAAAAAAAGTTATCTATTATTATGAAGACAATTGCAAATCTGCCGATGATCAATCTTAAATTATTAACAGCATTTTTGTTCAATTTACCTGCCATAATTGAGAAAGCAAGTTATAAGCCTTGATTTTAAATCTAAATGTGCATGAAGATTTACTTTCATTTACCCAATAACCAAAGTTATAATAAATGGTTACTGTATCTAAAGTGATAGTAAACACTGTCAATAATGGTAGATATGAAACACACACAATATTGCCCAAAACCACATTTTTGAGTGTAGGTTTTAAGTAACTTAATCACTCTGCCACCTGATCCCCTTCTCTCATAAAAAAAATACAACACAACATTGGCCAGCCCTCAGTGATAGTTGGATAACTACATTGTACCAGGAATCAAGATATCAAGTTACAATGGGGAAATAGCTTATCAGTGGATTACACTGTATGTGGACGTCTTATCCAGGACTTCAGCAATGATATGTGTCTACATAGACCAGGATGAACCTGAAAAAAGATATCCTTCAATGGAGATACAGTTACATTTGATAGTTCTTCGATACAAACCAGCAGTCCCCCCCCCCTCCCTCCTAATGCACATAAGCAAAAAAGAACTTACAAATCATCAGCTTTTCAATAAGCAGGTAAATAATTACTTTAATGGAACTCCAAGTAGAGAAGCTGAAATAATAGCAGTAATAAGCTGTAAAAACATTTATCTGTGACCCACATGTCATTTACTGTTATATATGATGTAAAAGTCATATATGTTGTGCACTTTGATAAAGTTGATAGTTAATCATGTTACAGAAAGCAGTTCCAGGTATGATGAATGACAAACTGATAAGCTATATTGTGCATGTATATTCAGAGCTCAGCTCATCACATTTTTTACAGATTGTAAAACATCAGCTG